TTATTATTCACATTTTTTTAATAGATGAACACACAGAACACAGTTAATATGATAATAAATTTAAATATTTAATTCTATAGTAACTTAATTCTAGTAGCATGCAGTTAAAATTCATTCATGATGTGTTATTTATGTTAACATTTTTGACTTTGACAACAAATCAATTGTTAAGATTCGTTCAAACATTAAGCATATTGTACTCATATAATATTATTATCTAATTTTTAAGTACAAAACAACTACTTCTACCGTACATTATTAAGACATATTATTGTTATAAAAGCACAATAATAACAACAAAAATATCATGGATACAATACAGCATTATAGTCCGCTCTTAACAAATAAATTTTAAATTAAAATTTTACATATATTACGAAATAAAATCATACTCAAATACAATATCATTATATTAATTATTCATAAGGAATTAACTAATTACAATAATTAGCAAAACTGCACAGTTAATAAAACCACTAAAGTTTAACACAATAAGAATACAGTACGATGGATATGTATTATATTGTTATAATTCTTAATTCGAAATAATAATTGATAAAATCATTATTTTTCAGTTAGAAGAAATTAATTACAGGAAAATTTCAATTAGTCGATAATATTTGCGTTGTATAATACTATTATAACAACTATTGAAAATTTTTTTAATAAAAACTGTTCACTAGGTGATTATAAATTAAAACGATAATTCACTCACAGGAAAACAAAAACGATTGTTTAAGTAAAGTTATGCATTTGGTAAAGTCGACGATTATTTAATTCGACATTATTGTTTCCGGAGTTTTACGATATCAAAAAATAATAAATGGTAAAATAGCTCAAGACTAAACGTTTTAGAAACTATACAATGATAAGTGCTATAACAATAGTTTTTAAGCCAATACATTCTACCAGTGACATACTACGGAAGGGATGGAGGAATAGGGGCATTAGATTCCACCGAAATGTTAGATCGAATTTATTAATCAAAATAATCAATTTTACTTAACGACTATTAGATTTGTTACTTATGCTGTTTAGTTAGACTTATATGGTTTTATATCTACTAATATTATTATTTAGTTGGAAAAAAATAGAATAATTAATTCGTATTAAAACCAAAACAATATGAAGTTCTCTATTGAAAAAAAGTAATGGATATTATATTATTATATATTATATATAAATATTTTATTCTATTCGTGAATGTATCGATCTACAGCAATGAATTATTAATTAATATTTAATTAACAGCTGTCTGTTCACGTTGGTATCATGGATTTTCCGAAACTCGTAAAAGTAAAATTCGTTCAATATTATAATAAAAAATATTTTATGAGGACGAATACAATTTCCGCAAGTTCAAGATACATTTGACATAACTTCAGTTATTGCACCAACGTGTCTATCTACTATTATCACTATTATTAATAATACCTATATTAAATTATTTGTACATAAAAAAAAAACACTTAAATTTATTTAACGTTTCTAGAGATTAAATTTCATTATTTTACGTGACGGCTTCCGATGAGAACCGTCCGTATATATTTACATACACATTATAATTATTATTATTTTTACTATCATCGTCATCATTTACCTTCGAGTTAGTGGTAAAGTGTACATTCATAACGTGAATAGTCTGGTTTAGTGATATAGCCATACGTTTGATATCTTCACACGTGGCACTCGTTGACGTGATGTCATTTCTACCCTCAAACTCATTGCTCGCGACTCGAACTACAGCTACGAAATTCGATCGTGCACAATGTATTATTGCTGTTGTCATAACAATTTAATCGAAATATCGGACGTGATCATGTGGTAGATGTACACAAAACGAATGTTTTACATTACATGTATGAACGTGACCGATAATCGAGTTCGAGGGAGACAATGTAGATCGTCGAGACGTGACGACCGGGTTGTTGAAATAATGAGTTATCCCGTTATTTTTCCTTATCATTTCGTTCCTATTGTCATCATGTGAGCCACAATCAAACAGCGTCATTGTTCATCATTCTTGCTCATCGCTTTTCAAAAACGCATTGCTGTCAATGCAGCGGTCGCGGTGTAAACGTCCGCCGGAAAACCGTTGAACGTCGGCTAGCGCGGACCGCTTTTCTCTCGGTTCCCTTTAGTATTGTAATATATTATTTCATACACGCGTATTGTGTAAATGTTGTTCCTGTAACTCACGATAGTTGTTTGAATGATCTCCGGGTATCGAATATTTTGATTCTGTTTATCGTATGGACAGGGGACGGTGATGAGACTTTGGTACGAAAAAACGAGAAACAAATCATTGAATAAATAAAATCCGGTTGGATCGAGCGTCCACTTTTTGTAAACATAACGGTTCGAGCCTGGATATAGTTCAATATTAAAAGAGGACTCTTGGAACGTACGCACGTACAAGACGGAACGATTTTGACGGAGATCTCGCTAGGTAGATGATGTGGAGGGAGTACAGGGGAGGAAATGAAGATACGCTGTGAAAACAATATCGGCTCGCGCTGACACGAACGCAATCGTCGAGGAAACGTCTACGGTAGCCAACTGCAGGACAATTAATGCGTGTCGAATGAAACCCTGTAGCTTGTAGTATCAATATGTACAGTGCAAATTCATTACGCTGATTTCAATGTGTATATTATGATAATTATTTGTGTTTTCACGTTCAGCGCGTAAACGCGGTTCGGAGGTGCGCGCGCCCGTCGTAAAACCGAGTACCGTTACAAATAAAATCCTGTACAGCAAGAGATCCGATATCATACCAGATAGTAGTGGCCACTGCAAATCTCACACATGGGTATGGGTACGGACGGTGGCATATCGAAAATCGATTATCAGCGCAGCGGATAACATATGTTTTAAGACTCGATCCCGAGTCCTACGGTCATTGAACGACTAACTAAAAAGTATTTGTATCGCTCGAAACGAAATAATTTTTAACTAGATTATAAGTTCATTGGAAATCCTATGGATTACTCTGTGCACGTGCATTACGAACATTTAGAATACGAATATTAATATATAATCGGCAACATTGCTCGGACGAAAATCTATACCGATTAAAAACGATCGCTCCCCGACATCCGAGCTCTCCGGGACGTATACACTACGTTATTTGCATAGAGACAAGCGTTCTAAAATGTCGAACGTATTACGCGACACGGGTATCCGTTGTAAGAGCTATAAACCGGAGGAAAACTACGGGAACGCACAAAAAATCGCGTCAAGTGATAAATATTATTTATCATCCGAGGCGTATTTCGTTTAAATAGTTCATTTTTAAAACGCTAAGCGTGGCGTAACATAATCTCGCGTACCTGAGGCGAAATCCGTTGGTTTCTGACCCACGTTACGAGTATATTTTATCGTTACCGTCGTTGGATATTGTTCGTTGGATATATATAAAAAAATGAGAAGATGTCAACGGGGCGGTTTTCTTTTTTTTAACTGTACTACAGAAACCGCCTACGTCGAAACGTATAATCAGTGGTTTTGCATAAATAATATTATGCGGGGACCAATCGATTCCGGTAACATAATATATTAGATTCGTCCGGGTGGTCTGTACTTGACAATCACTCCGGAGGTGTACGGAAGGTGTGCGGAGAGCGATTAGGAAAATACGTGTTCGCGATGGTTTCCATTAATTGTTATTACAGTTCTAATCTATACCAGAGAATCGAGGAATACGAACGCTGTAAGTGTTTTTACGCATTTCGATGCGTTTAAATTGCCATTTAAAATATTTTTTGCCTTCTCGAAATGCAACCATACAGGGTACAATGGGCCGTACAACAGGTAAAACGTTCGGTTTTTATAGTAACAGGATATTATTATTTCGACATTTCTATTCGAGCACTCGGTCTCACGACGGCTGCGGTCGTCCCGTTTACCACGAGTGCACGTAAGACGACGGCGTTAGTATTACGTTTATTTTTTTTCATCCTATACATCGAAACCGCGTAAGACCCAAATACTACACAGGTGCGTCGCGTCTTGCCATTCGAATTACCGAGTTCGCACTGCACTGTGCACCGTTCGTCGGTCATTTTACAATGACACACGGTATAATCCACGGTCGTAAGGTTACGTTCGTACCCTGATATAGTCAACTACGAGGCATTTCAAAATCCTAGACCCACAACCAGAGCGTGCCGTGTACGCTTGGACGCTATCGGAAAATGTTATTCTATGGTTAACTACTACGGTAAACATAAAAATATTATACACCGGTAATAAATAATATATTTAAATTGTATTATCTCTGCCCATTCCATTCTCTCGGAATAGTTATAGAGAGAAGAATGAAATTAGAAAACAATCAACAAAACTGCTATCACACAGGCTATTCCGGAACGTATGCTATTTAATTAATCGATATGATTATGAAAACTAAAGACAATGCGTAAATTATCATTTTGTATTGTCTAGTGTTGATAGGCAATACAATTCGATTGGGTAGAGGTCGCCCCGAATTTAAGGTCTAGGCACACACCCGTGATCACGTCGGGATCGAACACATACACCGTGGTTATATTAACCGCATGGTGAACATTCGAACGCGTTCCGAAATCTCGGCGTGAGAGCCCACGGAATACGGAACGTGGGTGCGCGGTGCAATGCGAACCCGGGCCCTCAGTAGCGGCCGCGTATCTTTTACGTCATTATCCTAAGAAATTAAATTAATGTTTATATGCATATACATGTACATGGTGTGTGTGTGTATGTATGTATGTGTAAGTATGTAAGTATGGTATGAGTATAGTTTTATGTATCGTATTATAGATGTTTGGCGGCGGGACGAACGGCGATGATTACGACGGGAATCGTTGTCGCGTTCGGTTTAAGGGTGTCCCGCCGCCGGAGCTGAAAACACTTCCGACGTCATTGAAGGAGGTTTGCACACGATATTATTGTAACTGTACACGCGCGTCTACGGTAGTATTATAAAATTACGTACGTGTTTAAGTTAATTAATATTAATATTATTTTTTTTATTAGCATTATGATTATTGTTTTAAAATTAATTAATTGTATTGTATCGTTATATGCGCGAAATAACGTCGTTCGTTGCGACGATAGTTTTTTTTTAACTTTTCGACGAAACACGCGTGCGTTGCGGTGCATGATGATTTGCGGTGGTGGTTTTGTTGGTGGTGAACCGTACGCGCGCACACGTAGTGTATTCGATTGAGTCCGGTAACGACTGGCCCTGGTTCAGACGTTGAATATGTATGACACGTTGGTCTCCTGGCTGGCCTGGCGCTTGGTGTACGCGTGATGGTTGGTAATGTAATACGACGCAGCCTTGCCACCGCCGCCGGTCGACCACGAGTTGGCCGACGTGACGTTCTCGTTGTACCGCAACGTGCCGCAGCATCGGCGGCTCTGCAGCACCGCGGTGAACCCGCGCCGGAACTTCTTGTTGAAGAACGCGTATAGCACCGGGTTGATGCAGCTGTTGGATGCGCCCAGCCACTGCGCAATCGGCGTGGCCACCGGCAAGAAGTCCTCCTCCCACGACATGAGCCGGCCGCCCAGCTTGATGCGCGCGAATATCGCGTACAGCGGTAGCCACGAGACCACGAACAATATGACCACCATTACCAGCATCTTGACCACCTTCACTTTGCTCTTCTGCTGGATCCGTTCCATCTGCGCGTCCTTGTTGTCTGTCGGTATCGTTCGCCGCCACACTTTGATCCAGATCATCGCGTAGCACACCGAGATGGCCACCATCGGCACCACGTAGCACAGCCCCAGGTTGCCCAGCAAGAAGTACAGGTTACCGTCCAGATAGTCTGGCCACACTTCCAGGCACAGCTCCAGCCCGGGCGCATCCTTGAATATCGCCACCATGTCGAAGAACAGCGCCCACGGTATCGTGATGGTGGTTGACACCAGCCAGATCACGCCGATTATGTACCGGGCCCGGCGCGTCGTTATCTGGCACTTGAGCGGGTACCAGATGGCCAGGAACCTGCGAACCGTAAAGCACACCGCGTTAGTAAAACCCTCGTGTTGTATATACCAAAATCGAAATTTTTTTTTACCGACTAAAATATTGCGAACGTGACCCGTGAGATTTATCGTCACGTTCTTGGAACCCCCGAACGTGCGTTGGACTTGCGTGTCCTATTTGTGTAGATTTTTTCCATTTTGATACAATAATAATATGTTTACGATTCCTAGATATGCCCCGATTTTAACGAACCATTCCGATAACACCACCCACACTTTAAATTTTTCTAAAATCGAGTTCTTGTTCTACTAGAAAACTTTCGAATAGCGCTTTAAATTTAATTTAAATCAAAAATATTACTCCCGCAGAATTTTTTTTTTTTCAAGTCATAATGTTGTCACATAAATAGACCGTCTGACGTTGTAACTCAAACTTATCTCAGCTAATGTCTCTTAATGTGCAAATTTATCTACCGTCCTATATAATGTACACGAAAAGTATCAACTAAACACTTCTCTCACCAAAGAAGAATATATAATTACAGTAAAATCTCGATAAGACGGAATCGCTTGGGACCATGACATTTTTCTGTGTTAACGAGATTTCCGTCTTGATGGGGCTAGTTAATTATATGTAATTTGAAACGAGATCAAAAAAATGTTCCGTAATACCGGGGTTTCCGTCTTACCGAAATTCCGTCTTATCGAGATTTTACTGTAATAAAGTTTTTATTTTACGATAATAGATACTTTTAGTTCTTTTATATTATTGTATTATTTTAAAAATGTAATATGTTTGCGCTTTTTTAACTAAAATTAATATTTCCACCTTGTTTTAAATTTCGATTTGCTTTTTGAACCTAATCAATATTTTGTCAAACAAAAAAATATCATTGAAAAGTTAAAATAGGTGCGAATGAAACCAACTCATGAATATTCATTGGTTTTATATGCGTTTGATTCGTTAATAAATTAAAAATTTATTGGCACCGGAATAATAAATTGTCAATTAATAATATTTAACGATTTAACTACGAAATACGATAGTTAATAAGAGTTAATAAAATCAATATCGCCATAAAATATAGTATAAATATGTATTTATAAAAGTTTATATAAATTGTAATTATCATATGAATTTATTATATGGTTAGCACATATTTTTTAATGTACAATGTATTCATGTTAAGTTTGTTGATATTGTATTAAAAAACAATTTTTGAGGAATGAAAGGAATACCAAAATACACAATTTCAGCCAAATTTTAAATTTTTGACCCTAATGATTACTAATTTTTGTCAAACAGTATTATAATATAGGTCCTTTAAATTATAATTTTAAATATTTACGCGATTCACTGTTATGTGCGCCCATAGGCGGACGTTTGGTTGATCTTTTGGGAGTCTATAATAATTCAATGTAAAATAACACGCAGGGGTTTCGCCTCCACACCCCCTTCCCATACACAAGTAAAACTTATTACCATTAAAAATATAGGTATGTTTAAATTGTATTAAAAAATAAAACACTAAATAACGTATATATAAAAATAATTAATATTTTATTTTAATGAAAAATAACTATTTGTATTAACAAAGATACTCAAAATAACATCGCTTTTTATATTTTTCGATATATCTTTTTCAATATATAGTATTGAAAGTTTGCTGAACCTATCTTGAACCAACAATGTCCTTAACAAAGTTTTTATTTTTTTCTTTGCACTGAAACTTCTTTCGCAAGTAGCCAAACTATGTAATTGGTATTGTTAATGCTATTGTAAATAGTTTATTATTATTTCTTATTTTACGATTTTCAAAAAAAAAATGAACATAAATTATAAATAAATTATAAAAACAACGAATAAAATGTCTAACAAAGTTTCGATTTTGTGGGCTATTAAAATATTTGGGAATCTAAGCCTCCTAAGCCCCCCAAGCCCCCCAAGCCCCCCTGATATCCGTCTATGTGTGCGCTCAAACTAACAATTTGCGTGTAATTGAACTTCAAATAAAATAAGGACCATGAACTAAAATTATTATATTTTTTTAAATAATCTGTGGCGTTTCGCCCTATTGGAGGAATCGAATGTTAAAATAATGGTACGGTATTTTAGTGTTTGAAGGAGCTTTTATTTTTGGTATACACGTTAACAGGGGTGGAAAGACCATGGCGGTTCCTTCTTTCCGGAAAGTTGTTCCGTCCAGAAAGCGAAACCACCGCTGGTAACCATCTAACTCGTTACTGTGCTAAAGGCACATCCGTCTTATTCTGAACGGCCACGACGCTTCTTTACTTCATTGTATATAACATATCGAACTCAATTATATACACTTCATGTGCTGCAGATACTTTAACATATACAATTATAATATTATATTCTATGAACCGGATAAGAGTTTTGAATGATTCAATAATAAATTAATGTACTTGCAAAATGAAAGGTTGTTTTATTAACACGAATTAATGTTTAACTTTCCAGCAGTAAGTTTTTAAAATATTATCGTTAGATACAGTGTGGATTGTCAACAAATGTCAAGCTTGACGAGATCATCACCGTAACACTTCTTTAATATTAGTAATGGAGATAATATTAATTGAATTATTATAAATAATTAATTTAAAATGTTCAACAAAACAAGTGACACTGGAATTGTTTAGTAAATTAAAAATGGTAAGGCCGAACTACTTATAACTAGTTATAACTATATGCATATATATCATGTACCAGGTGATTTTTTTTTTTTGGTTAATTTATGCGTTAAGTATTTGAATGTAATTTAAATTCTTTAATACACACACAATTTTTTCGAGAAAAAGCTATATACTTATTTTTTATCATCATAGTTATGTGAAAATTCAACGTTCTGAAACGGTTTGTCTACTTAGTACCGTGTGCATTCGAATATACCAATACGTGTTCAGTAAGTTAAAGTTTTATTGTGATAAGTTGCATATTATAAGACCGGAAGCGATTTCTAAATGTCGAAATAGTTTAGAAGACGTGGATACATGTTTGAAAAAATAAAGTACCGCATTATGTCAGTTTACGATAGTCTCGGCTAATTGTAATACCTACGATGGTATGAGGTTGCCTTAAGAAGAAAAATTAAAAATTTTTGTTCGCATTATTCACGCCTAAAAATATTAAAAACAAAAGTACTGCATATATAAAGATTGAAATAGTAGAGATCACACACAAATTAAATTACTCTGTATAAGAACCGCCATCGTAATTCTGATTTTTATAATACCATTTTATTCTTTGAATGGTTAAAACTGTGATAATAGTCGTAACAAACGCATAGAGTATTATTTTAGCATAATATTCCATATAGTTTTTTGTAAATTACTCCTGGCGAAATTTGAAATCTAATAAAGCCGCTAACCGTTCATAGTATTACAACAAATACAATTATTATTGCCGACCGTGAGCACGGTATTTTATACATCTGTCTGTAAAAAAGAATATTATGGAAACGAATAACTAAAAAGGAGACAATAATGCGTTGTTTATTTTTACCGGTTACAGTGTACGAAATAAAAATCACATGGTGTCAACATAATAACTATTGTAATTTTAAAATAGTTATAGAAACGGTTTCAATCGTGCGAGTATTTCATTTACTTTTGAAATGATAACATTTTACGAGTGTTCTCTATGCTTGTTCTTATTTTTTATGACTTGTTTCTAATTTTAGTTTTTTTAACAGTAATTTTTGTTTTAAATCTTGTACATACCACTTGTCCCTCTAGTAGGGGCAAATAAATCACATCCTTTTTCTCATTTAGTCTTGTATTGCACTGTACAATATTATTTTTTCGAATACTTTTTTCAAATTTTATTCTAACGTGGGTGCACACCCTGTTCCGGCCGTCTACTCTACCGGATTATCGTTCCCCTCCGAGAAGATCCTGAGTACTATTTTGAAATCATCGCATGCAGTATATTTAATTTTTTTTTTTCTTTTTTTCAATAGTAACAAGTGAAATTCAAATGTGGGCAATTCGAAAAGAAAAAAGATTTAGCATGGTTACAGTGTTGAATTATGAGAGTGAATTTCAAATAGAATTTCAAACAATCGCATTTTATTCATCAAAAAATAAATATATATATAGTTAAATTTTATTTTCTTATAAGTTCACATTATACGTATAACTATATAAAAGTGCAATTGTTCTATTATAACAATTATTTTTTAATGAATAATTTTAGTATACGTCCAGCAGGACGGTGTATAATGTTATAGTGGTATAATCCTTAGAAATCCTAACTACTAACGCTTGGGTTACGTTGAATTATGAAATCAATAAATTATTTTTTCTTGTTCCCGGAAAATATATCAGATACGGGAGGTTTTTTGTAAGTATAAAAGTATTATTTTAATCGAGTCATTTTGTTAAAAACCATATTACTTGTTAGAATATGATATTTATAGGTATATCGAATACGTGAGTTTCTTTTTTATCTTTATTATGAATATTTTATTAAAATAATTTCAAAACTAAAACCGTGTGTTCAATATTATAAGCAATATAATGAATTTAAACGATTTGATAAATTTAATTAGTAGGCTTTCAATACATCACATTATTGTTGTTCAGAATGAATTGAAAATTTTAAGAAAACCTAACCTTAATTAATGTTACGATAATACATTTTTAGGACTTTTTTAATAATTTAAATTCATACTTATCTTTCATTTCATATGACACAAGATTTTATGTTTTCTAACTTTTAAATAGTTTAAACATTTCAAAATAAAAAATTCGACTAAAAAGCAATTATAAAAAAATAATAATAACCAGCACAGACATTGGTAATTAAAAATATACTTAGTTTATGAAAATATAATTATAATTTATGTAGATTACAGAAAAAAATCATTAGTTCCAAGAATACAATTTTATTGAATCACTTAATCGCTTAATTGGTATTCCATAAATAAATTTTTACTTTGGCATAATAAGCTTTGAAACGATGTGGAATATTTTCTGTAAGGAAAAAAGCCACATAAATTATACAAAAATAAAACTCTATCCTTATATTTAATATTCCCTTTATTTTTTCACATCTGATTCTTAAAATAAATATTTAAATACTGAATTTATAAAAACATTTACTATGAAATAGAATTTAAGAATATAAAAAATTTGTGGAGATATTGACGATACATCAAATTTTCATCATCATCCTCTGAGTTACTATAAATTACTCTTAATAGAGACATAAATTATATATTATATATCATAAAAGGAAATTGCCCTTCTTATACAGCCATTAGAAACAAGATAAATAATATGTAAAAAAAATTATTATCGTTATCATTATTGTTATTTAATGCATAATTTAGACGTTATTATGTATTCATGTTCTGCCTAGAACAAACTTTAATCTTTTCTGGACAAAATAAATATACGCTGTAATCGGGACATAATCAGGGGCAGTGATGTAGTCCTAAAAAAGTTAAGATATTTTCTTAATCAGTGAAGTAACCGAATCACGTTTATCTTTTTTTACTCATTGGATATTAAAATTTAATAAATATTATCCAATATAAATATTATTTGCTGGGTAATGTTAATACGTCTTTACTTGCGTACCACTGTTTTTGTTTAGGTTACATGCATAATTGTAAAGTTAGAAAGCGGGTACATGCCGTATACCTCCGCGTACCCTCCACTACACCACTAATCAGGGGTAAGTTAGGTCCTAATTTTAGCAGTTATTTGTACTCGTTTTCTCTGGGACGACATATCATTCCAAACGCGTCGAATATTTGTGTCATTCCGACCCCGATAAGTTCATGTCCGTTGGCCGTCACACGTTCGCGCTTACACAATGCCAAACAATCTTACGAGACAATATTATTTTGTTGACATAAAATCCGAAAACGGAAACCGATGTGTTATGTGCGGCTGTCAGGCCAAGGTTTACCGATTGGGAACAGAAAAAAATGATGAAAAACATGCAACAACGAGAAAACGTCACAACGGCAAAAATGGTAATGGTAGCGTCCGGTTTGGCGTAAAGGAAAAAAATACGCGACACGAGTTTCCAATGACAAAATACCGGGTCAAGTTCAGCGGTAAGACCGTAAATGGTGGCAAGTTCGTTCATGGGGAGATAAGTTAGTGTACTTGACACCACGTTATTAGTACATTTACGAGTATAAAACCTGCGGATGACGTTCAACCGTCACATTACGTCTACGTACGCGTGTTAAAAAAAATAATCTTCAATTTCAATCCTCCGACAACGAAACAACAACGTAAAAAATGATGAAGATAACTGTAAGTACAAAAAAAATAACTAAAACAATAAAGTAGTATCAGAAACGGCATAATTGTTTAAACATTTAACTATATTGCATCACGTTAGTCAACGTAATTTATTATTTTATGTAAATATTCATCAAATAATAAAATTATGCTCAAAGCCAATGTGTTTTGATCACTAATAACCCGAAAAATATCTCCGAGTAATTTATTATCCCATTAGTCGTATACTTTTGAAGAGAAGGGCACGGAAAAAAATGATAATAGCCAAAAAAAGAAAATAATCTCATAATTATATCACCTTGTCATCTGTTTTGAAAAGCAATTAAATTTTTTATTTATTTATTTTCTCAACAACTAGTTGAATTACCGCAATGAATTTTTTTTAAACTATTTTGACTATACATTTTTTGAGTTTTGAAACTTTTTAACTCCTATACTAAACAGTTTAGGAATATTGAATATTATTGTATTTCCCCGTAACCCTTATATTATTTTAATCTTTGTTCCTACATTTTGATATTCCGAAAATGTGTAGAAGATAAATCTATCTTTATGTGCCATTTTATCTTATAATGAAATTACTTAATTAAATAAATAAATAATAAATGATAAATGCTAATTAAATAATTACTTTTTAAAACGCCTCTATGAAAATCATATCAAGTAAAGTGGTGAAGAAACTCTTGGGTAGTTGTATGAAAAAAAAGAAGGAGACATAAAATATTATTTAACATTTATTCTGATTAATTAACGATTATTTTTAAATTATTTATTTATTTTAATTAGAAAATAAACTTATAATTATATGTATTACAAACAACAAATTGCGAATAAGATGTAACATATTAAAGAATTTCCCGATATCTGTTATTTATAATGCGATATCTTTTTAGCTTTTAGAGTAAACATGGTTTTTTTTATATATGTATAAAACAATTTTTATATGTAAAACTTTAGATTCATTTAACTAGAAATGCTTTTTTTGAAAAAAAAATTCTTTTTAGTGCTTGAGGCATCAAAGTTATATGATATACTATCTAAAAAATTCCCATATCGAGGCACGTGTCGTCGTTGTGACAGCTACACCTTTCAGACACATGAACCACGTATTTTAGAATCTGACAGAGCTCGTGATGTTATTTTATTTGTTTCCAATATTGAACCATTGTCAATTGAACAAGAAATAGCTATGATTATTACTATCGTTTACAAAACATAACTATGACAACTACAGCTTACGGCGAGAGGAGAAAAATGCAATGGCTTTTAAAAATTTTATTATTATTACTGTTATTTATACACAACATTGTATAATATAACAGTGCGATAGATTTTAAAAATCGAATATTTATTATTATTTATACAATATATATGATATAATAGTGCTGTGTAATTCAAAAGAGAAACGGTTTATAATAATCCGATCGTATGTTGACCATTATCACAGAGTTATGTTTTATAATGTATACATTTTATAGACTATTCTGGTTATGGTGTTTTCCAGTATTAACCAAGTAAAATATACTACATTTATCTATATTATCGAGCTACGGAATTCACTTGCAGAGCGAAGCATAATACTTATCAGAAATATTTATTTATTTTTTATACATCAATGATGGTTTTTTCGACTATACATTTTTAAATAATTAAATTAAATGTTATTAAATTATATGTAATGTAGTGTCAATCTTCGTGTAATCTTATATAATTTCATATTTTGATATTGATTCACATTTTGAAAAATAACGATTCGGTACTTATCCATAAAATTTGTTTGCAGTCATTTAGATACTTAAAGTAGACCTTAATTACGCTTAGTACTCGATTGAATCTTAAGCACATTACCTTTATATTCTACACAGCTTAAATTTATGATTATATTAAACGGCATAACAATCACTATTGTTTTCTGAGCATAAAAAGCGAAATTCATTAAGTTTATAATCAATAATGATATTTACGTTAATAGATATTAACACAAGTTCAACAGTCGAACATTTATTACATTGATTATACGTATAATCGTTCAAAGTGTAACAAAAATCTTAGCTATATTTTTATACGTGTACTTTAAATTTTTGTTTTGAAACGATAAAGAAAAAGTCTCCACGGAATCCCAAAAACCAGCAATTTCAGTATTAAACCGTATAACTCATATAGAATGATATAGCAATGATTTTCTCTTCAATATATATTTCTTATTAATTCATATGCCTTATGAATACAAATTATTTAATTTAATTTACAAAAACATCATATTGTCTAGCAATTTATAAGTCCTCCCGTAAAAATTATATTCTTTTTTTTTCCATTTATTACCATTTAAATATTTTGTTTGATAGAAGAGATTAAAATGTGCGCATTTTCGCTTCTATAAAATCATGTATAATTAATATAATATATGTAAATATAAAAATTTCACTAACGATAATGATATAATGATTGAATTTGATAAGAAAATTGAAAGCGTAAATTTTATACTTTTGTATTCATTTCAATTAGAGTTATGATAAAAATTCTGTCAATCATCCAAGTTATCCGTACTGGAACAAACGGGTTTGAACCCGTCTGCTGCACCGGAAATAGTTATAGTTACACGCGCATAACGCTCTCGTAATAATTTCGATTTCATCATACTCTAGTGACACAACAAACTTCTTTGCGTACACACACGCGCGCGCACAATACACCGAGTAAATTTGGGTCGAAAGGGTAAGAGGGCTTGTGAACCGTGCACACAAAAACAAGCAGCGCGCAGTAAGTCTCGGCCTAAATATATAACGAGTTGCGTGAAAATAATATAGATATAGCTGAACGGAAAAACGTATTGTCCAACTTTGTATAGTCACCGTCGTGTTATTATTGTCAATGTTGACGAGATTGTCGCGGTATAAAACAACGGTCACGTAAATCATTATGCCACCGAGTTGACAAACATAATCGATTTTAGCCAAATATAATAATAATAATAATAATAATAATAATAATAATAATAATGTATAGGCTGAGAGGACGTGCGCGCGCGAGCGTCCACAGCTATATAATGTGTAGAGTTATTACAGTAACGGGTTAAGTTTATGGGTAGGACGTAAGTATTGTGATCGCGAATACCTGTGCGTTCATAAACCTACTAGTACACACTTATGTACACGAGTTCATGCGTTTATGTACATAATATGGGCGTCACGTGTAAGTATATAGGTCAAGATGCGCCGTACGACATCCGAAATTACGAAAATCGTGTTTTTTTTTATATTAATTTTTTTTTTTTTTTTTAGCAGCTCACTTCACATTCAGAAATAATGGAGCGAAAAAATTAAATACGTTTTTTATGTAGAACAATACTGTACAGTAAAAACGATGATATTATTCCTGTTAATGAGACGTGTACAATAATAGATTAGCGTATTTTCGAACATCCACGAGCTTTTTTTAGGCGTGTCTTAATATCGAAAATAAAAACGGTTGGTGGATAATTTTTTTTCTTCTCGTCGTTCTTTTGGTTGAAAAACGTTCCGCGTGCAAAAGCGTGCAATATCTAATAACATCCCCCGACCGGGGACTAATAGAGTTGGCTATGTGAGTAGAGAATCGCCCGTCGTTCATTTGTCACATATTTAATCGTTGGCCCTCCGGTATTTCAAGTCTACGACTAAATTATTTCCAATCGTATAACACATAGCAGCGCTACAATCGGAAACCATCGTGCTCTTCGAATAATCAACGCTACCGTAGATCTACAAGTTATGTCGACTTTTTAGTGTGAATTCGACGGCCAAGTTGTACACTCGAATAAAAATAGAAAAATAATATCACCCAATGATACGTATTTTGCGCTACAGTCAATTCGTTGTGGTGGACTTGCAGTAAGGCTCGCTCGATCGAATGGATTTTAAAAATACATACGATTACTACCACAACGCTATTAACAACTGTAAACTTGCGCTGTATTCATTTTGTACGTCGAAACGATTTAAATTGACAGTCGCTCTGCGTGTAATATTTTTATACATCGTTTCGCGGTACGAACAAATCCGTACAAGTTCCGTTTTCGACCGGAAAACCATGACACGATATTTTTCGGAACGTGTTACGACGATCCCCGCAATTTTTTGTGTAATTTATTCGTCCCTTCGATAGTAATTATTTCGAAAGCACATGATTCTGCATGTCCCTCGGCAGTTTTTGTTTCCGTAACACCGTATAACAGCTCATTTCTTCGCGCAATTACGAACCGACAACGAAACCTAGGACAATCGCAGCAAAAACCAACTTATCCGATCGGAAATAATAATTTCAATCACGTTGCGTTCCGTTTGTGTTGAGTCGCTTCGAACATATTTTTATATTTATTTATTAACGGGCGGAGCTCTATACAACAGTTTCACAGTATACAATTTACAATTTAAATAATTAATAGAAATAACACACATAGGTTTAGACAACATAATAATACAATAATTATTTAAGTATATTGGTATTTAGTAGTACACCTAATTTTACTAGTCTTGATACATGACGCTCTCATTGACCAAACTCATCATACGGTGTAAAGGATTATTTATCCCATTATTTGTTGTGTAGAGGAACTACAAAAGGAACGTGGTGTCTAGTAATGTGAGAAGGAACTTTGAAATTAACCAACGATAGAAGTGACGGAGCATCAATACGACCGTCTATCAGTTTATTCATAAACTCTATGTTAGCATTAACTCTTCTGTCTGCTAGTGAGATAAGACAGTTCCCGTATTTCTAATGAATAGTCATGGGGAGGATGCTTTATTTTTAATATATAACTTGCACAAGATAAGATTCTTCTCTGAATACGTTCTAATTGACAGGAATCCGTTACTGTATTAGGATCCTATAGGACAGATGCATATTCTACAAGGGATCGGACCAAAGAACAATATAAAGATTTTAGTGAAGACAATAGATTGAATTCTTTTGACATACGTATTATGAATCCAAACGTTTTAATAACTGCAACATACCGTTTTTATATGAGAGTAAAAGTTAAGATCTACATTAAAAATAACATCCAAGTCTTTCTTACTACCGATAGAGATTACGCTAGAACCATTTATTATGTACGTATAATAATAGGAGCGGTGTTTTAAAAATGACATACAATGACATTTATTTACATTAAACTGAAGACCAATACTATTACACCATGAGACAAGGTTGTTAAGATTATTCTGGAGCGCAGAGCAGTCAGACACATTTTCAATTTTACAAAAAAGTTTATTGTCATCGGCAAACATGAGTAACTCACAGTTTTTAATAACCCCTTTTATGCCATTTATATATAGCGAAAACAATACCAGGGATAAATATTCTCCCTGAGGAACTCTGGAAAAGACATTAAAAATGGAAAATTTGCAGCCGAATACTTTAACACATTGAACTCTATCTGCCAGATAGAATTTGAACCAAGATAGAAGAGGTTCGCCAAACCCAGATTTGTATAGGTTTTCAATAAGTCAGCCATAATCAACTCTATTAAAAGCTTTAGCAAAATCTATATAAATAACATCAACTTGGATGTGCTTTTCAACAGCTTTCAAAACAAAATTGTTAAAAGCCATTCAATTCATAATGGCCGAGCGACCAGGTCTGAACCCATACTGCTCATCGATTAGAATTGAGTTAACAGGCGATTGGATACTTCTCAATACTAATTGTTCAAATAGTTTAGATATGTGGCTCAAAATTGACACAGGTCTATAATTTTTGACATCGGCCTTATAACCAGATTTAAATATAGGAGTGACAGAACTAATCTTAAAAAATGGAATGAAAAACTCCGCTACCAAGGGAACGCCTGAAAAGTAGCCACAGCGGAAAACATGTTGAGGACTTTATACTGTATAAGAAGATGCCAGACAAGCCATCAGGTTATATTGCAGTAATGTTGTTCTGCTGCACGGTGACAAACGACAATTTGCCTTTGGTCTCCTGCACAACTATACAGACTTTTCTAGGAATTTTCTAAAACGTGGCAGTCAAATTCCTGCCATAGTTATGTTTAGCGCGTTCTTTATGCGATTTGCAATTATGTCCTTCACCCCAATGTAAGGACTACTATCCGTATGCTTTGAGGACTATGGTTACGTGTGTGTGTGTGTATTATAACGTGGCTGATCACGTGGTAACGTAAAATCCTGCGACCTACAAAGGGGTCGGGCGTGTTTCGAACAACATTGCTTGCGTTGTTATTACATGCGAATACCGACGAGAACGCGGTTTTTTGTTGAAATAACCAGTAAGGAATAGGAAGAGCAGGAAATCGCAACATCTTTTTGTACGAGAAACGCGGACGAACCGGAATGAGGATACACACCGTTGTTCACTGTCGTAGTGCACGACGATAAGGATATCATACATTGTATAAGTTCATACGATTGCAATGTAACGCGAATTGGTGCCGGAGGAGTAATTACGCACATATATGAGTGGAAAAATAAAACACGGTACGCATATGATTTGGAGAAAGAAGAAGAATCTCCGGGTGCACCAGCAGAGAGTAGGGCTGCTGTAGTTAGTCGGAGCAGTATATTATTTATTGCCCTGCGTGGCTGTCGGCTTGTACCGGTTGCATATTATAGTTATATATTATTAGCATTGTTCAGGTAACTGAGTTTTTATTTAATTCACTGCAATTGCTATCACCAATCATAGCACCCGTAAGAATTCATAATTAATACATCTCCACGTATTTATGCCTCGGATGTTTCCATACGTATTTTTTCCATATGTTTCCACTAGACTCAATACAATGCATTCCTTCAAATTCAAATATCCATATCGAACAATCATTATTATTATTATAAAGGCGTCTATACGTGTTGCCTGTATATTTTTTAAGCACAGGAAAGAAATACCTTTTCACTACAATCACTCCGGCAATATTTCTCCTGTAAATAATTCACTGTTATTATTCTTGTTTAAGGAATTCACTTCTTGCACGATTCGAATAACTTTTGATGGAAAAAATGCATTTCTTTCGATTGAAACGAAATGCTAAATAAATGATTTCACATCGACACTGTACATTATAATGTATTTTAAAGCGTGAATGGAAATTATGTTTCAGATGTACCTATTTATAATATCGTTTGGATTTTTATTTTTCCGATCTCATAACTCAACTGTGCTTTTTCATATTTTATCCTTAGTGGACTTATCTTGTAGATCTTGGTATACAGCATTCATATACTTGCTTTGTATTAGTAAAATATCAGAACATTGTTGTTCGGTTGTAACTTATGGAGGAATTTTCAGAAAAACATTTATTAGCGGACACAAAAAATACTGAATAAAATTAATAACGTAAACTAATTAAAATACGTGCTCGTAAGACTGAATTTCTAAAAAAAAAAAAAATCAATTAACGAACGGTCAATATTAACAGTTAACGGTTAATAAATTATCAAACAAAAGGGACGTGTTTTGCAAGGATTTACATCACTGATTGTATAATTATTTTACGTTTTCAGATCACATTAGCCGTGTTCTTGGTGGCCGTGGCGAACTCCGCACCGTACGTGCCGGTCGTGCCGGTCGTTCCCGTATCCGTTCACCACCCGGCCGCCGTCGTCCACTCATCGTCCGTAGTCCAATCTCACCCCTCACCCGCCATTACGCGTACGGTCGCAGTGCCAGCCGCCGTCGCTCACCCCGTGTACGTCCGTCCGGCCGTATCCATCCACCCGGTCGCCGTCCACCCAGCAGTCGCCGTCCACCCTGCTGTCGTCCACCCTGTCTTGCCCGTCCACAGCGTTGTGCACTACTAACAGCAGCCGTTCAAACTGTCCATTCAATAGACAATTTGTTCGTCTATACACGTCGCCCGCAAACGCATCAACGCAGTGCTTTATACACGTCCGGCGAAAATGTATTATTTATTCTCGAAAAAACATGATATTGTAATTTATTGTTAAAATCTTTTCGCATTCGATCGATTCGATATTATTACAAATATACTACTGTGACGATATTAATTTTTGTACGCCTCGTCTGGCCGCATTATTTGTGTACATTGTAATTTGGGTTTTTGTTCCCCGATCATAATGACGCCACTGACCACTGATCACCCCCACTGACCCTTGCCGGACGGTTCCGAGCGGAGACTGGTAGTACGAAATACGTCATCAACTTCATCGTACGGAACAATTTCAAGTATAGTATTGCGCGGGCGCGTGCGCTTATTCTCTTCTGCTGTACACGCATTCCGAAATTAAATCGCTGCGAAATAAAAATGTCATTTACATATTTAACAACTGAAAGGGCAATTTGAAAAGAGAAAATGGTCTCGAAACACTAAAAGATTCTACCGAATACATTTTTCTATCCGTATTGCAATTATTACTGTACTAAACACGTATTCGTCGGAGCAACATGCTCGGGACGAACGGTTTTCCCGATGTCACTTTGTTGTCGATAGTGCTTGCTGCTGCAGCCAGCCGGTTCGTTTTGCCGCACTACTACTCGATTCGATTTGCGATTTTTAGAAGAGAGGAATCGCTGTGCATAATTTACGTTTAGTTTCACACCGGATGATCGCTATAAAGGTATGGCTTTTACGTTTTGAATGGGTATATGATAGTGGCGTGGCATTATGCGCTATACGTACTTTTGAAATGCCTTCCATTCGCATGCGCGCATGCCTGGAAGTTAGTGATATCAAGGGATTTGGGATCTGAACGTCCTTAAAACGTCTTCAAAACTACGGAAGAAATCATAGGAAAAATGTTTTTCTCTGACGCTCTCAATGCAAGAACAGTATTAGAATAAACTTGTTTAAAACAGACGTTATACTTTTCAGCATTAAAATTAAAATAGTTGTTTTTATTGTTTAAACGGAGACAGTTGTAATCGTTTGGTTAGCTGAAGATAAAAAGTGAAAATTCTGCGTTTAGTAAATATTATTTTTATGTAAAATACTCCTCTAAAACAAGAAATACAACGAGCAATTACAACAACAAACTACGTGAAGCTATGCACTAAGTTAAATTATGCCATTTGTACACGGAGAAAAGAAAAATAAATTAAAATGAACTATCAAGGAAATAGACGTAATGACATGATTATGGATCATTAAATTAGAAATATAGTTTATAAATTAATTGGAATGCTCTCGTGAAATGATAACTTTACTGCACTTTCCACAATTTTTTTTTTTTTTTTTTTAGTGTAACTCATTAATTTTAAAGATGAACAATTATTGTTATATTTCTAACACAACACCAAAATATAAAATAAAAATATTTGTACAATTTGACAGTATTAACTGAAATCAATAATCGATTTCAGTTTCTAGAAAAATATTATATTTGAGTACAACTATCACCACATTGATAGATTAAATAGCTTATCTACCTGGAAAAAAATAATATCACTCTAAAACTATATTGTCAGTTGGTATAGAAAATTCTTTCATGTTACGAAAAAAATAACTTTTTTCTATAAAAATTTATCCATGTAGTTTAAAAAATATATTTAAACCCTACTGTATATTTACAAAGTTTGAATATAATACAAACTTGATTGTTGATAAAGTTCATACACTTTAAAAACTATTCAGCTTCGAACGAATAGTAAGCGATCTATTGTCTTTTAAAATCCGAGTACTAGTGTATGGTAATTTGAAGTAGATGTATAAACATAATAAATTCAGAATCGAAAGACAATATAATAAAAAAAAAAAATTCCAAGTAAAAATACATTTTTATTTTTTACGTTTCAATTTTTTATAATTTCATGCAATTACGAAGTCGAGGGAAGAAATATGAAGAAGTATAGGGTTTTTAATTATTTCTAATGCGTATAATTGGATCTTGAATGGAAGATATGGCCATGTTATTTTCAAATTATAAACTAAATAATAATAATCTATTTTCAAAATCATCCAATATATAATTATATTGTCTCAAATGCGCTTATCCGTATTACATATATATTATAATTTATTATTATGTTCTCGTGGGTTATAGAAATTACGAGTAAATGTCTAGGAATTATATAATATACAGGTATAAAGTCATCCTTAAAATTAGAACTCTGGATTATTTACAATAAATACCCACAAGTTAATAGTTGTTCGATACTCGAATAATAACTAGCTGTTCATGATTTCAATGGAATCGCGAAATTAATTAAATAGTGACATTGGAATAGCGTTCTTTTAGATTTTCACAAGAATTATACAGTGTTATTTATGTTGCCTACTCTTTGATCGGAAAACTTATAATAATTCTAAAAAATGTGTTTATTCGAAAAAATCTATGTTATAGATGTAAATTAATTCTAGGTGACTCCAGATATTATTCTGGGTTATAAAAATAAAACCAAACCATACACATATACACATTTCAATAGACACCAATTCGAAGCTACGATTTCGTAATTATAATAATAATTTTTGTACGGGCATGATGTTGTAATATAATTTTATTATTTTAAAATAATAATTTTGATTTGTAATAACACCGTTAAACTTAATCTTATTGTATTTTTATACCATGAGATAGTTTATTTTGCTTGTATTATATAACAGTTTCCAACCTTATGTTAGTTAGTAACGTTTCCTTTTTATATCTCAAGAGAAGTGAAAAATAACAATGGCCGTTTTTTTTTCACCGATAACAAATTTTGGTGTAGTAATCTGCACTAAAAGTTTTTTTGTAGTAACTTTTATAAATTGGAAAATTCGATACTACAAACAGATAATTTTCGGACTTTCACTGTAGTTTCTTGTTTCTCTGGAAGAGGAAACACTCTCGGAAATAATGTGAAATTTCTTTCGTCGAATAGTATCAAATGTATTTCGAAGAAATAACTCTACAACATTTTCACCTAATATAATAAAACCAAAATATTCGTTTTGATAAAATTGTTTACTAGACTTTTTAACGATATTTTGAAAACAATAGTTTCTAAGAATGTTGGTGGTTCTTTAACTTTAACTTTCAGGCTTTTGGTTATTAAAAAAATATTCTTAGACTTATATTTTAGGATTTAAAGTGGAAACAACTGTAGATCAACCTACGTGTATTGCGTGTAATAATTAGGTTCAAAACATTCGTGTGGACAAACGTAATTATACGAATACAAATTTCAAAGGAACATTTTTCACTTTCAACCGAATATAGTGTCAGATTATTCGAACACTCGACTCGTGAACGTATATAATCAATGACTGCATTCTATGAACTTTCTCGGGTCTATAACGTAGTCGATGATCAGTTCTATCAGTCGAAAAAAACGATATTATTAATCTCATACCAAAAGCCGCGTTCGCGTACAGACTCAATGAGCCCGACGTATAGGCACGGGAAAAAATGGCATTTTATCGGTGAGTCGACTGAGGTCAGCAGGTCGTGGAGTAGCTGCAGCGTGGCGGTTGCGGCGGACCCGGTCGGTGAATTTCGAATTCACCCTCGTGCACGATTTTATGCGTTTATTAACCCCGGCTGCGAAACGGCCGCTAGTCCGGGTGACGATCGCAGGCCGCGTACGGTCGGCGAGGCGCGCGTACACATTTGCGGGCTGGCCCGCGTACGATTCATCATCACCGATGCTCTACGCCAGGGGTCGCCAACCATTCGATCGCGATTGAATGGTTGATCTTTTTTGGAATATAAGTCGATCGTTGTAAAATTTAATTTTACCATTTTCAGTCGATCCCGTAAAATAATCGGATTAATCAAAACATTAGATTATTATTATTACGAAAAAAACAATAAATAATTATTCTTTGGTCCTTAGACTTTTTTTTTTTTTTATTGCTCATCAAAAAAATCTCTTCCCAAAGACCTAAACTCTCTTGGATATCGATCACCAGGGACTTGAATGTCAAATGTATCTCACTTGTTTAAAAAGGTTGGCGACCTCTGCTCCACGCAACGTTACATTACACTACGTTATCGTTGATGTTACACCGTAATTATTGTTATCATTATTATTGTTGTTTTAGCGTAACATTTATCGTTGGAAATCGATGCGCGATACGACCGGTACGAAAAAGGCGGTCCATGCACGTTTTATGTAAAACATTAGGTTCTTTGGAGTGAAATTTCCAGGGTACATGCAGTGGCGCACGACTCAAGGGTCAATGGGATCAGTCAACCCCCAGAAAAAAATTAGGTGGTTAATATATTTGCCATTTTCTTAATTTTATTTCAATTTTGAACATATGAAACTTGATTGGACCTAGACTGAAGTGCTAAGTTCCACTACCTCAAGCTCCAAAATTACCTTTATTGGAGTTGCTTTGCTAATGTTTATGGGTAATGGGTGGGTGGTTGGTATTAATATAAGATATTCGACCCATTTCGGTAAGAATGAGTTTGCACCACGTGGTACATGTATGTTACGGTATTTGTTAACGTGATTGCAGTTACGAGCGATATGTTTAATATTTTTGTACAAACCTGTCCACTGACACGGCGATCAAGCTGTACACCGATGCTGCCACCGAAACTCCTTGAACGTATGGTACGATCTTACACATCCACGATCCCAAGATCCACGCTAAAAATAATAATAAAAAAAAAAAAGTTATATTATAGATAATACTAAGATTTCATATAGACTAAATACGATAGCAGATGACGCAGTAGTGGCTTGTTTATGATTTTTTTTCAAAGAGCCTCAGAAAATTATAATTGAGATGAGTCATTTATATCATTGTTAATTATTCTATTTTTTTTTTCAAAGAATTTAAATAAAATGTATGTATAAACTACACAGCAAGTGTGAACCCTTTACCAACCTACTGCTTTCAAAACTAAGTTAATTTTTAGGTAAGTCATACTGTGTAATTTACAAAAAAAGTTTTATTTCAAGAAAACACTCTATAAAAAAAGTGTTTCGGAATTTACCGTATGTGTATGTGTTTTCATGAATTAGATATTAAACTGGCAATAAATTCTTTGCATTAAAATATAATATTGAAAAATACATTTTGAAAAACTAAAAAACACAAATATTATTATAGTAAAGTAATATTCAACTAAGAATCTAATTGTATATCTGCTATTATTATAGATTTTATTCTAATTTTTTTTTTTTTATGCTGTGTGATTCAAAAGTAGTTGCAGAATTTCTCTGAACTTGAAAATTTTAAATAAACAAATAGAGTAACTATTTCTTCTTTTTAAAATATTTAATATTATTTAATATTTCAAAAAACAATAAATATAGGTACTAGTAATTTTATCTATAATATTTCTAAGAACATGGCCATACTTAAGACACATTAATGTACCATATATTTTAAGTGAAAATTGTTCTAATATTTATTAATTAAGGAAATATTAAAAATAGAACCATTTATATATATAATATTGAGTTAAAATTAAGAGTTTGGTATTATAATTCAAACATCAGTCGCAATACATCAAGTTTTGAAATCAATGTTAGAGAAATACTAAGTACAATTTTTTTTATCTGAATATATATTATATTATATTTTACTATTAGATGTATTTTTCATTTTCATCAGAAAAATAAGTCTATCTTTAATGGTACAAACTTACAAATGCGAATGAAAATGACAAAATGTATTGACCAATATTACTAAAAAAGGAATACGATATATGTCTTATATTTTCAAATTATAACTAGTCACAGAACTTATTAAAATCACAAAACGAAGTAGACGAGATTTAGTAGTAAAAATATTGTGAATGAAACTATTATTTTGTATATTAAAAAATAAAACAGTCAACTTGACCTATTACAGATGGAAGAGTTTCACTGAAGATAAATAAATAACTTTTTCGATGAGAAGTAAACAAACGAACAGGTGATTAAAAAAGATTGTCGGATGAATAATAATTTATAATTGAAGGTATGGGATAACTGTCATGTAAAATAAAATATTTGTGGTTAAAATTTATGTTAAACATTCGGAAAGGCAATTATTATTAAGCGAATAAATAAAACCCACCAAAAACTTTATTCCGCTGATTATATTTGATATAAGTACATCATAAGAGTATACTTAACGTCAGGTATTTAATATTAATGAAAGAACTTTCAGAAATCATTAGATACATTACGTAGATTAAAAATCGTTGTACATCAATTCGGTGTAGATTATGAAAATATATTAAAAATTAAACACAAACTCATATTTTATGCATTATAATATAACTATATAAAATAGCAGTGATAAAATGATTAAATAGATTCGAGACGGTAATTTTTTCAATGTATAGAGTCTCGTAAAATAAGAGTAATTTGATGAAAATCGTCCGTGGGTTTGGCAAAATCGACCGATTTTTATAGGCTGGTTCGGTAAACAGTCCTTTAGGGAGGGCGTGTGCTTTGCCACGTGTGCGGGTAGTCGAAGGAACGAGGTCACCGGGTCAAACTCAACAATTCGGCCGTGCCCAAGGTATTAAATCCGAAACTTAATGTGTATTTCTTCTTATTTGGCGTTAACTTTATAGTACATCTGGCGATTTTTTAAAATTATTCAACATGTAAACTTATCAACTGATGAAACAATAATAAAATCGTTTAGCTCGTTGAAGGATTAAACAAAAGATTAAAAGTTAAAGTTGGACCCAAATCACTCAATTATACAATAATTCCAATATGGCATCATATACATAATTTATTGATATCATATTAAAAATATTATTTCAACCATGACAAATTAAAATAATATTTATATTGATTCACTTTAATTTTCTTAACATATTTCAGAAAAAAAGATCCGTCCAACCAAAGTCGTGCAATTTAAAATACAATTTTTTTGATTAAAATATTTTTTTTTTAATCATTCATTTATAAAAATTATATTGGTACTTAAAAATCAAATTAGTTCCTGTCAAATTCTCTGAATAATATTGCCATATTTGTTATTAAAATCATTTTTTTATTATGTTACATTTAATCAGAAATTAACTACAAACATTTTTATTAGTTTCTGTATCATATATGGTCTATTAAGTAATTTGTCTGCGTTGTTGATATGACTAGAAACTAATTAATAGTCTATCTAAACGATAACTTTCTAACGCTTATTTATTAGCTATGAATGTTTTATTCCTAATTATATCTTCCATTTAGGTTCAAGCAAACTGTCCTATAAGCTAAACGAATCAAACATATTTATTGAAAAGATAAAAACAAAATATAATATGTTTCCGCCTTGATACAGCCTATTTGGAAGGAAGTATAAAATTAAATTATGATTTTCGTCATCTCAAACATGATGCAATGTAATGTCTTTTTTTACGTGAGATGGGAATATATAATTCGATGAGCGTGCAAAACTTTAGAAAAAAGGAACTGCGTTTTGATAACTGTTTATATATAGCTAAATAGTTTTTATTATGACTATACATAGTATTTTATACTTACACAAATAGCATTTGTTATAATCAATTTATATCTGATTAACTTGAATTGTGCATTATATGAACAATCGTCTACAACGAACATCTACACGTTACATTTTAGAAAACCAGGAAACAACACATTAATAAGAATACTAATAAAATTGTTCAACCTGGAGGAATTATAAGTCGTCATTGTTAGTTGGTATATGTAATATAATAGATAAATTACACGATTGAAAATTGAAGAAGTGTATCAATTATTATTGTTATAATGTCTGATTAGTAATAAACTTGTGGACAATGATTAGAATTAAAATATAATACGATACAACATAATACTCTGTTATAAAATTAAATAATATCTCAGTTCAAAGTCTGGAAAATACATATTCTAAATTAGGTACTTCGGTAACTTAACGTACGTCGGAATCAAATAATTATAAAAAAAATCCAACAGTACTATTTTCATCACGATTTTCTGTATGCGTACAGTTCGCGTACCGTATACATATATTTATTTTTATATATTTCCTCATATGGAAATCTCTTTGAAATCGATTTCAACTCGTGAATCAGTAACCGGAAATGCGCCTGCACATAAAACGCATTTTCAATGTTTTCATCGCGGATGCCACCCGCACGTTGTTGAATATTACTTTTGAAATAATTCTCTCTAAAGACGTCTATGAAATTTATGCACAAAAGTCATCACGCATAAAATATAAATTATAGGCGCAGTAAACAGTTACATCGCGAATACTGTAACGAAATCAAACCGATTGGTTGAGCGTACAACATAATATTAATTATAAGTAAACATATATTTACGAGTACAAGGCATGATTAGTTAGTAGTGTACGTATAATACACAAACCGACGTGAATAATACATTCTACTAGGCCGGTGGCTTTAAGAGTTCGTCACGCAGGCGCGTTGCGAGCATCACGTCCGCGCCGAACGCGAAATAAACCAAAATCGACGCATTCGTTTCATTCAGTTCGATGCTTTTGTATTGTGAAAACCCAACCGAAACACACCGCGCGTTAATAGCCATAAATTTGTTTTCGGAGTTTTCACTTGAAAACTAGGCGAAAAATATATGTGTACGCCAGTAGTACGGTATAACGGGTCGCCAATTGAATATTATACGTACAGCGAATTGAAAACAATAATTTGCACATCGACAATCAACGTAGGCATTAGGTCGGTAGTGTTATGGAAAATTATTACTACACCATTACACGGTTATAGCGATCAGAATTTATTGCAACACCAAAGAACATATAGAGTAGTCGCTGGTGGTGTTTTATTATAATGGTGTACTACCTATTATTAAAACATCGAAAAGTAGCTTATGAAGTATATAAAAGTTCAAAAATAACAAAATCCTCGTATTTCTTCTTTGGCGTCTTATATTCATTTTTTAATGAAAATACAAACTAAGTTATTCAGAATATTTGCGGACGTTGAGGAACGTCATAGGGTCAAAAGTTCGTGAACAAGTACACAAATGTTTACGAAAAACTAAATATCGTACGAAATTTTCGCATCCATTGTAACACGCGTTTATCTTATCTGGACGATGATTAAGAGCGGACTCGTTTTCTAATTTCCGAATTTTACAGATAAAACGCGAAAGATCGCATTGTTCATATACAACTTAAAGGGCGTGATTTCCTGATTTTAAAGGTGCGTATAAATAAAACTGTGGAAGAACGACCGACCCAAGTGTACCAACATAACTGCTTATTGTATAGGAAATTAAAAATTAATATTTCCAAGAAATATAAAATATATAAAATATAAATTATTAAAATATAAAATATATAAATATAAAATATAAATATAAAACTATCCTTGATAAAATAACCATTATCTCGTGGATAATATTATAGTTTTACGGAATAAATGCAATTATTTGTATTTTTTTTTTTTTCCGATTGTGATTAAAACAAATAGCTTTTACCCGCGTTTCCGCTGTACATTGGTGTAATATAAATTAATAATGAAAAATTATGACCATGTCATGAACACTTTTTATCTCTGACATTACCGAACCTATTGTAGGATAGATATTTTTTAAATCATCTTTAATAACGAAATAGTAAGATACACAATGTTTAAATATTTAATATTAAAACATTATTTTAATTATATTATTTTATATTATTAATTAAT